TTCAGGCAGGGAGATCAATGGTTCAGGCCAAATGGTACTGCTGTATCCGGAGGAAATGTCATCTATCAGGGAGGGCTTGTGTTTCCGTCTTATGTTGGTAAAATTAAAAATACTGAGAATGCCAGAGTGCTCAATATTCAGGATCCTGATTTTGACCCGAATACATCTTTTGTGGATTACAAACCTCAGTTCAATTTTATGCCGAGACTTGCATTTTCGTTTCCTATCAGTGATGATGCCGGGTTTTTTGCTCATTATGATGTGCTGTACCAGCGACCTACTTCCAATTCATTTGCATCAGCATTGGACTATTATTTTTTTGAAGATATTTCGAGGACCAATCCAGATGGAGCCGCATTGGACAATCCAAATCTAAGACCTATCAGGACAGTGGACTATGAAGTAGGATTCCAGCAAAAATTATCAGAGTCTATGGCAATGAAGTTTTCTGCTTACTACAAAGAGATGAAGGACCTCATTCAGCAAAGAGTATTGGCAAATGTCGCATCACCATTAAACTCCTACAAACTATTTGATAATCTTGATTTTGGAACTGTTAAAGGATTTTCATTTTCTCTGGATCGTCGCCGTACCAACAACCTCGAAATCAATGCTACCTATACACTACAGTTTGCAGACGGATCAGGAAGCGACGCCAATTCGTCCAATGGGATCAACAATCGAGGACCAATAAGAAACCTTATACCGCTTTCATTTGACGAGAGACACCGGTTTACTGTAGTGGCCGATTACAGATATGGTGCAGGAAAGGCATACAATGGTCCTAAAATCGGAAAAGTAGCTATACTCGAAGACTTCGGACTGAGCATGACGATGTTTTTAGTGTCAGGCCAACCATATACGCGCAATACAACCCCACAGGCTTTTAGAGGATCAGGATACGCCGGATCTGTCAACGGAGCAAGACTTCCATGGAACTTCACCGCAGATCTGAATCTGCAAAAACGTTTTCCGGTTACTATTTCAAAAACGAGCAATAAAAAACTCTTCTTTAACGCCTACCTGAGAGTGCAAAATGTATTTAATATCAGAAATGTGATAGACCTGTATAAATATTCAAACGATCCTGATAATGATGGGTTCCTTCAGTCAAGTTTTGGTCAGGACAGAATCAAAGGAGTGGAAGATACGGGCAGAGATGTTCAGGCTTTTTTGGATGCATATTCCTGGAGATTGCTGGCACCGGGTAATTTTACTTTGCCGCGCAGGACATATGTTGGTGTAATAATGGATTTTTAAGATTATAAACAGAAAATCATGATTTTAAGATTTTTAATACTTTTTATACTTTTTGCAGGTATTCAGCATCATATGGATGCGAGAAAACCGGACAATATCGATGCTAATAAAAATACCTCTGAAGTAACGGGATGGCGAGCTGCTTGTGTAAGGCCAACCAAACAAATAGAAATGCAGGTAAACAATGTCAGAGCCCGTCTGCTTACAGGAGGAGATATATGGTCTGAAGCTCAGTACATAGTACCCAAGCCGGCACCTGGCCAATTGCCTGTATCTGCGCTTTTTGCCGGTGGTGTGTGGATAGGAGGAGTAGATCGTGCTGGCAATATCAAGCTTTCAGGTGTCACATACAGATCTCAGGGATATGACTTTTTTGCCGGACCTCTGGACATCAACGGGACCACGGAACAAGTCCAGTGCCAGAATTGGGACAGGTTTTTTACAGTGAAAGGAAGTAGTGTCAGAAACCATTACAATAATATCCTGAAAGCAAAAGAAACAGGTACAAAAATTGTTTGTGATTCCGTGCCTGAAGATGTGCTTTATTGGCCGGGACAAGGAAACCCCTACTGGCGTGAAAAATTTAATTTTAATCTTCCTGACCAACCATTAGGAGCATATTGGGATGATGATCAGGATGGTGTTTATGACCCTTGTAAGGGTGATTTTCCATTGATTGACATCAGAGGGTGCGAACCTGACAATATCTCAGAAGCCAAAGAACTCATACCTGACGAAATGGTATTCTGGATTTATAATGACAATGGTGGCCCTCAATCTCTTTCAGGTAATCGATCCATCCAAATGGAAGTGCAGGTACAGTCATTTGCTTACTCTACCAATGATGAGATCAATGATATGACTTTCTACAGGTATAAACTGATCAATAAAGCCAATGAAGATCTCGTGGATTGTTATTTTTCTATGTGGATAGACCCGGATCTGGGGTGCTACCAGGATGATCTCATAGGATGTGATGTATCCCGGTCACTGGCCTACGTATATAATCAGGATGCAGTAGACGGAAGTAACGGAACAGCTTGCGAAGGCACTAATACCTATGGTACAGAAATCCCTATACTTGGCATGGACTATTTTAGGGGACCACTTGGACCAAAAGTTTTCAGGAAGGGATCAGACGGCAAACCATTGCTTGATGCAAATGGGAATAAAATCCTACTGGAACCAAGACCATTTACAGGCGAGCAGGACACGCTTGTGGAGTTGGGCATGACATCATTTACCTATGCTGAAAATTGTAGTATCGGATCACCACCTACAGCAACTTGTGACCCTCAACGTGGACGGGAAGAGGGGTTTTACAATTACATCAGAGGATTATGGGCAGATGGAACTCCGGTTACATTCGGAGGTACCGGATATAATCCTGGCAGCAGAGACACAGTCAGGTTTGCTTATCCTGATGAACCAAATAATAACAGAGGCTGGTCTATGTGTACAGTGCCCGGCTTACCATTTGGGGACAGAAGGACTATGCAGGCTACAGGACCTCTGTTGCTACAGCCGGGAGCCACTAATGAGTTGATCATAGGAGTAGTATATGTTCCGGATATAGACTATCCATGTCCTGATATCACCAGACTCAAGTTTGCTGACGACATAGCACAAGCATTATTTGACAATTGTTTTGATATCACAGATGGGCCCGATGCGCCTGATATCACTGCAGTGGAATTGGACAGAGAGCTGATCCTCATGCTATCCAATGAGCCTAATTCTAATAATTTCAATGAGGCTTACAATGAAATAGACTTGCAGGCTCCTAGAGATGTAGATAACAAATACAAGTTTGAAGGCTATAAAGTATTTCAGCTGGCAAATGCAAGCGTTACTGCTCAGGAACTCAATGATGTCTCGAAAGCAAGGATTGTATCACAGGTGGATGTAAAAAATGGTATAAAAGAGATCTACAATTGGTCAGGACAGTCCAACCCTATTGACCCGATCTTCGGGCAACCCGTCTGGACACCATCCAAGCAAGTGTCTGGTGAAGATAGAGGGCTAAGAACAACATTCAGAGTGACTGAAGACCAATTTGCCTTAGGAGACAGAAAGTTAGTCAACCATAAACAATACCATTTTCTGGTATTGGCATACGCTCATAATAATTGGAAAACCTTTGATAATAAATCCGGAGAAGGTCAGAGACGCCCTTATCTGGAAGGGCGAGGAAATGTAGGAGGTCCAGAAAAAAGAGCATATACGCTGGTACCCAGACCTATAGTATACGAAAATCTAAACGCGGCATACGGCGAGGGACCAATAGTGGCCAGAATTTCGGGAGAAGGAAATCCGGGCAAATTTCTGGATATTGACAGCACGATGTATGACCTTATTTTCAACAATCAGCATAAAGGCAGGATAATTTACAAAAATGGTGCCGGACCTATCGATGCCAAGGTCATAGATCCTTTACGAATAAAGGATGGAAAATACCGGCTGGAAATAAGCGGTACTTTTGATTACTCAAGAAGTGTCTGCGGATATGATAATAATTCGAAGTGGACATTGACGGATGTCGCGAAAAACAGAGTCTTACTTAAAGACAGATTGTTGTCAGAGGTGAAGGAGTATATCATCAATGAGCTCGGTATATCTGTCACTGTAGGCAACGGAGATGATCCCGGCACCACCCGCACAGGAACCAACGGTGGTGTTGGTGCTTCATTAGTGTACAAAGATGCCGCAGGACCGCGTTGGTTCAATGCTATCAGAGATGGAGGCATCGTTCAGTCCAATGCTCAGGGCAATGTCTCACTTCCATTCCTTGATTTTGTACGCAACGGATTCAACCAGGATCCTGTCGCTGCACTATCAAAAATGGGTAATGGATTTTTTGTGCCCTTCTTATCCACCAGATTTGAGTCCGATCCCGACCTGTCATTTTATCTAAGCCCGGCAGCACGTGATTTTCAGGCTGTGATGACCAATGCCACCAATAATTCTATCAGGTATCGTGACCTCAACAATGTTGACATCGTGTTTACAAAGGATATCACTAAGTGGAGCAAATGTATTGTAGTCGAAACAGCTACCAATGATTATATAGCAAATAACTTACCTACTATCGATAATACCAGGAATTTTGAAGTAAGAAGGACTCCATCGATCGATCAGACTGGTAAAGCACTCAATGACGGTACATTTGGATTTAGTTATTTCCCGGGATATGCCATTGATGTGGAGACGGGTAAGAGATTGAATATTTTCTTTGGTGAAAACAGTGTATTTTCGGGAGTTAATACCAATATTCTTGATGGCCAAAAGCCTATTGGCGGAGATTTGATATTCAACCCATCTGCTCAGATTATCGCTGACAATGTACAGGACTTCAGGGCTGCTGTGATGGGCGGTCAGCATTATATATATGTGACACGACAAGAGTATGACGGGTGCAAATCTCTTGAATCCAAACTAAAGAAAGGTTCAGGAACACTGACAAAAGCTAAAGCCGGGCCTGCTGTAACCTGGGTGTCATTTCCTATAGGTATAGCGAGTGCTCCTATGACTACCATTGATAAAGGTTTGATCCCCAATGACCTCATAGTAAAACTTAGAGTCGGCAATCCTTATGGTGAAACCCGCAAATTCAATATCGAACTGGAAAGAAATTGTGAAACCGACGGTGACCGACCTGTGTATGAGTTTGAGTTTAGAGGAAAGGAGTCCAAGTCATTGCTCACTCAGGAAGAATATCAAGGTGCATTGTCCACTGTAAATGTGGTGCCTAATCCTTATTACGCATACAGCGCATATGAGACTTCACAGTTTACCAATGTCATTAAGATTACTAATCTGCCTGCAAAAGCAACGGTGACTATCTACAGTATAGATGGAAGTTTCATAAGACAATACAATCGGGATGAAAGAGGCGCCATCCTTTCTGGCTCAAACAGACCTACATCTACCACACAGGTTTTTCCTGATCTGGAGTGGGATATGAAAAATTTTAAAGATGTGCCTGTAGCTAGTGGAGTATACCTCATACATATTGCTGCTCCTGAGTACGGTGAAGAACGGACCATTAAGTGGTTTGGTATAGGAAGAAAATTTGATCCAAGTGGTTTATAAGCTTAGAGTATGTTTAAACTTTTATCATTTGGCTCCAAGTGGCAAATTTAATTTTAACCAGCGTTATATTTTTCGCCGTACCGCGTCAAGCTCGCTTGAGCTTCCGGCTACGACTGCAAAATATGCCTTGTCCAAAATTAAATTTTCTCACTTTCGCTCAAACATAAAAATTTAAACATACTCTTATAATATTTTTAGGAAAACAACAAAATTAAAACCATGCTACAAAGAATAAGCGCCATTTTTTCACTCATCATATTAGTGGTAGGATGTGCCCGGGCCGGAAATCCTGATCGGCAAGGTCAGGCCGGAGCAGCAGAATTGCTCATGAATCCATGGGGAAGAAGTGCAGGATTACATTCGATGAGCACATCCTCAGCAGTGGGTGTGGAGGCGATGAGAATAAACATAGCAGGATTGAGCAGAATCAGAAATATGGAAATCGGAGTGTCACACAGCAGACTTTTCAGTGGATCAGGCATGAATCTTATCAGTGGGGGCATTGGATTTAAGATGGGCAAAGCCGGTGCATTGGGTATCGAATTTGTATCGCTTGATTTTGGTCAGATACCTGTCACTACTGTCAATCAACCCGGGGGTACCGGTGGTTTCCTCTCTCCAAGTTTTGTACAGATTGGTTTAGGTTATAGCTATACTTATGCCAATAAAATTTCAGTAGGTATGTTAGCTCGATTAGTAAACGAGGGTATACAGGATGTGACGGCAACAGGTATCGCTATTGATGCTGGTGTGCAGTATGTCTCAGGCCCAAAAGATAACTTCAAATTGGGTATATCATTACGCAATGTCGGATCACCTTTGCAGTTCGGTGGAGAAGGATTATCTGTCAAGAATCCAAATACTGATCCTGCAGGAGGTGTAGTATATGAACTGACGTACGATGCCCGAGCTGCAAGCTTTGAGCTGCCATCCATGCTGAATATGGGCGTTTCATATGATGTGTATTTCGGTGAAAAGAACTTTCTGAGAAGTATGGTCAATTTTACGTCCAATGCTTTTTCCAAAGATCAGATAGGAGCTGGCATGGAATTCAGTTTTCAGGACCTTGTAGTATTCAGAGCAGCATATAAGCATGATTTAGGTAGTGCAACTGTTGAGTCAAGAAATATTTATTCCGGATTTTCTGGAGGTGCGTCTATCGAGAGCTCACTTACTAAAGGTGGACCAAATAATTTTGGAATAGATTATGCATACAGAACCACCAATCCTTTTAAAGGAAGTCATAATCTGACTTTAAGGTTTTTATTCTGATGAAACCCGCTGGTTGTTATCAGAAAGAATTAAGATATTAACATACGGTTACGAAGTTTTGATGTTCAAAGTCTTTGACTTTTGGACAACTATCCACTGGTCTTACGCATCAATAATTTGACTACAACCGGTCATAGACCATTAGAAAAGTTCAATCAAAATCTAGTAATACTTTGGCAAACTAAAAGTCAGCGACTGTAAGATATATTCCGACAAGGTGGATTAAAACTTTGACATACCAAGGTTAATACACTTAATACGACCTTAGAAATAAAAATAAATTAACCACTTGAAACTTTTTTAACCTTATCATGGTTTATGTATATTACGTAATATTTTTTAAACAAACGTTTTCAATGAAGTGATCTTGGAAACGTTTGTTTTTTATTTTAATAAATGTATAAAACACATTGTATGTCAGTATCATATATGACTCAGGATGGATATGAAAAATTAAAATCCGAACTGGAAGATTTAAAATCAAAAGGAAGAGAAGGTGCCGCAAAGGCTATAGCTGAAGCCCGTGAAAAAGGAGATTTATCGGAGAATGCAGAATACGATGCCGCAAAAAATGCACAGGGAATGCTCGAAATGAAGATCAATGAACTTGAAAAAGCATTTTCCACTGCAAGGATTCTTGACGAGAGTACGCTGGATACATCTAAAGTAACTATTCTGACTAATGTCACCATTAAAAACAAGAACAATGGAGCAGAAGTGACTTACAAACTGGTAGCTGAGGCAGAAGCTAATCTCAAGGAGAAAAAAATCTCAGTTAGTAGCCCGATTGGGCAGGGATTGTTGGGGAAGATTGTAGGAGATATTGCCCAGATACAGACACCGTCTGGAATAGTCAATTTTGAAATCATAGAAATCGGTCTTTGATATGGCTTCCATTTTTTCTCGTATCGTGTTAGGGGAAATCCCGTGTTACAAGATATATGAAGATGACAATTTTCTGGCTTTTCTCGATGTATTCCCTTTGGTAAAAGGACACACTTTAGTCATACCGAAAAAGGAGATAGATTATATTTTTGATATTGAAGATGAACTACTGGCCGAAATGATGTTATTTTCAAAGAAGGTGGCCTATGCTATTAAAAAAACTATTCCTTGTCTCAAAGTGGGTGTTTCGGTAATAGGATTGGAAGTACCACATGCACACATACATCTGATACCTATGAATAACGTCTCAGAAATGAATTTCATTCGGCCAAAACTTACAATTGAAGGCATCGAGATGGAAAAAATAGCATCTGATATCAGGGCTAATCTTTAATCTTTTTACCGCTGTACAGATAAAACAATCCGCCAATACCTATTATAACAAACAGGATAGAAATGTACTGAGCCTGTGACCAGTTCAATCCGAAAAGATCATATCTTTCATTTACCCTGATGAACTCCACAAAAAACCTCTCTATTCCATTCAGAATCATGTATATAAAAAATATTGTACCCGGGATTTTAAATCTGTGCTTATTGAACCACAATAGGGCACAAGCCATCAGCCCAAATAGTGTTTCATATATTGGGGTGGGGTAGACACCCGGCTTAAGTTCAAAACAATATCTCATGCCACAACTTTTGAGACAACTATCTTCAGAAGAAAGACCGGAAATTCTCGCTGCCCTGAACGCTTCCGGGTCACACTGAGAAAGTAAAATTCCGTCATTATTGATATTGTTTGGGTAGTTGTAAGACCAAAGCCAGTCAGGAAGAAACCACCAATCAGGTATGGCAGCAGCCTCTATACCCCAGTCCCCATCTCCGGAAAGCTGGCAACCGATACGTCCTACAGCATAACCCAATAAAATACCCATACCAGATATATCCATCATGTATATAGGTTTGATACCTATCTTTTTCACATACCAGTAGACCACAGCGAATGCCAGAATCAGACCACCGTATACATTGAGTCCGGCACCGGAAAACAAAGAAGCAAGTGGATCCTTAAAGAAACCTGATAAATCTTCAGTAATAGAAAATAACTTGCTTCCGAGTACTCCCGAAAGACCCGCTATGATGATGATATCGTTGGTTTTGGTGGAAGGATATTGGAGAAACTCTCTGGTTTTGGGATTAGGATCTGCTTTTTGATTTTTCCACAAGTAATATATTGCAGTGGCCGCGGCAGCTAAAAGTCCTACCCACCAGGTACCTTGTTTGGAGAAGAGAAAGGAAGCAGGATCTCCTTTGATATCTTTAAATTGAGACACCAGCAAAGGGATTTTAGCACCTATGATCAAAGAAAAAAAGCTATTGATCACAATATCCATTGCAGACATCTTTTCTGTTTCGATGGTCGTGATTTTTATTGGAAGGATGAGCCCTGCTTTTTCTTTTTGCTGAAGTTCATATTTTAATAATACACCACAGGCAGCCAAAGCGATGACAAGCATCACGCCAAATGTTTTGAAGATGGATGTCCAGTTGTCGACGTCTGTCCCTATCAGGTCATTGAAGAAATATGAAAGATCAGGCCACATTATTTTACTTGTTTAGCGACAAAAGTAAGAAATATTACTGTTACACTGTACTTTAGCATGGTTTTTGGATGAATATACATATAATTTATCGAAAATTGTGGAATTATGTTTTAAGCCTTGCAAGCTTACTTGAAAATACCTGTGTGTGCAATAAAATCCTTCAAACCAAAGTTAGAGTAGACAACATGTAAATACTAAAATTCAATTTACGAATCTTCAAAACTGGTTATATAAAATCAAAATTATATCAATATATGAAGTACATATTATTCATTTGTTTAAGTATACTCCTGATAGAAACATCATATACTCAAACTCAGGGTTTAGTCATTCAAACCGGATTAACTTCAGGGTTTTCTAAAGATAATAATGTTACCAAATCAGGTGAGGCGCATTATGGCTGGATGGTCGGCGCAGATGCAAGAATTCTTGAAGGTGGTATGTACTTTATCATCGGTGGGCAATATCATCAGACAAGTCTAATCTCTACCAAAAAGGCAGATTTTTTCAAAAATGACTGGAAGATATTGATGGGACGCGGTGGTTTAGGATTTAATATTATCAATTTTTCTGAAAGAATAGTTTTAAGATCTAAAATTCTGGGTTCAGTAAATTTTATCATGGATACCACATCACCTGGAGTACCTTTGCCTGGTTATGGGCTACCTGACCCTATTAAACCTAACAAAAATGACCTTATAGTTAATGACTCATTCCTTGGTGTCACGTCTGGGATTGGCCTGACATTGGGAAGTCTTGATATAGATCTGGAATACCAGTATGGTGTTATAAATGCTATAAAAGCAAAACCGGATACGAAATACAGTTATATCACCCTGATGGCAGGTTTTCACTTCTGATTTTTATCAAAGGTAACTTTTTAGTCAACAAAAA